TGCGGGAGAATTATTGGGCGCAGTCCGTAGGTTTCACCTGTAACTTTATAATGGCAAATAAGGCAAAATGTCATTACTTTTGTATTTTACGTTAGATGGCACTGTCTTGAAAAAGTGAATACAACAATAATATCGTAGATTGTCGGCGTAGTTCAATTTATTACACAATGGTTAAAAATAATTTTAGGCTTTATTTATGAATATTTTAATTATTTTATTTAATAAAACACAATCGTATATAATAACATAAATTAACGTCCAAAGGAAGGAAAATACTTTATCAAGGAGGGTTTTGAAGTTCCGTAATCGGATAAAAAGTAGCATATAAGTAGCCCTGGGTCCCTAACTACCTCTACACAAAATTTCATTGAAATCTGTTCATTTTTTGCGTGAATCTTTAATACACAGGCAGACAAACAGACAAAAATTCTAAAAACCACTAATTTGCCTTCAATGCCCTTTAAATAGTCATTTGGGCTTGTTTTTTCCAGAATATATCAGAATTAAAGACACGGCTTTTCTACAGATTTATTATATGTAAAGATTAGATTATAGGTGCATTTAGATGTTTTCATAATTTCCAGTGGAGGGTATTAAAAATGAAAAAAGAGATATGAATAAAATTTACTGAATGTAGGTGTGTTTTCCTATCTATTTTTGCGGTTCCCAGGGGGAGTGAAACTTCAATACAAATCTAATGCACCCTATTACACCACCCGGAATCAGGGCCCTGAGTGAAGGGTGGGCGAGGCCCCTAGTTAGGGACGTCAGTTATTACACTAACCTAATTTTACGCCATTACTCAGTCATAGGGATGTACAAGTGAAAAAAGTATATATATTTATATATCGATATTTTAAAAGTAATTGTAACAAATAATTAACTGTGTCTCGTCCTGCTAACTCTAGTTGCGTAACTCGACTTTAGTTCAAGTTGTGTAAATTTGAACTTGAGTTAACTTGAGTCTCAATTTTTCCAAGTATTCCTACTTGGAACAATTAGAGAGCAACAGCGCTCATTAAAAACATCGAAGCTTATGTAAAATATATCGATTTTTTCGATGTTTTTATCATTTAAATATATACATTTTTAACCTTTACCTACATATGGAATAAATAATCATTTTGAAGAGAAATGAAAGAAAGAAGTATAATAATCAAACATTATATTTATGTTATTTTAGGAAGTTTTACACTATTTATTTTTACACATTTAATTTTATCGAATAGTTATCAGAAAACAAGAACTAATTAAATATTACTATATTATATATCACTCACGGGATACCGAAGTTGCCACGATAGGCAAATAGATCTTATCGAGGCTATGAAGCCCGGGAAATAACCCTTTCATGATATCCCAGTCCCAGTTTTATTTCTTATGATGTGGTGCGTTAATTTTTTATAGTAGTTTCATATGTTACCTTCAGTATTATCGTATTTTCTGAATACCTACACCTACGAAACTATACCGAAATACCAACAGGTAAATAACCGTTCATCCATAAAAATTAGTATTTCAGAAAAATGATTGTAAAGAAATACGAAGTACCGTAAGCCGATAAAATAATTTCCATTGCAAAATAACTATTAATGTTAGCGACGACAAAGTGAATTCGAACATTTAATCTTAATTATTCCTTATCAGTGATTTAAAACTAAGTGATAGTATTTAATCTTAATTGTTTCCTATTCGTAAAATAAAGCTAAGTGTAAAGACTGATTAGTGCTGAAAACAGGAAAGTAAATTAAACACTTCTATTCTTATCTTAAAGTAACTTATATGAATCTATTTAATATTATTTAGGTCTGATTAGAACATTAGACGCAAGTATAAGCTTATTTTCTAGTAAGATTTCTTTTATCATAACTTTAAGAGCTATTAACATATAGGTGATTAATATAATTTTTTTTTCCTTTAAAGTAATTCAAAAGAAACATTATGTCAATTAATCACTATATAATGTTATTTCTGTTTATACGAGCAATTACAATTAACTTATAAATATATAAGACTGTACATAAGTTATTCATTAATTTAAAGCTCAAACAATATAATTATTAATAAGAAAATGAATAAAACAATTTCAATCCATTTTCAATATTTGTGTACTTATCTTAATTAAATCACAATAAAAACTACAATTTTACATCGAAAATGGAATTACCGTTCGTTTCATTCATTCGCCTGTTTGTTGATTCGTAATTAAAATTTTCAGAGTTATTTCTGCTAAATACTCGTAAACCTTCTCCCTCAAATACCTCAAATATTTAGACGTTATCTAACTTTGACATATTTTGTTTCGAATATTTATTTTTTGGCAACATAAAATTAGTGATAATTATCGTTCGCAACTTTTAACGTTCGGAATTTTATACCTTCGAACAGTTGGTTATTTCGTAACCTTTGACGGCAATACATAGTTTATATAAAACATAGCTCATGCAGGACCATGTTTATGAACGATATATCGATGTTTGAAAGAATTGATGTACCGTTTGCATCCCTAGCCGCGCATCGAATAAGTGCCCTAACTCCCTTATTGTTATTACACTGCACGGTGGAAGGGCACTGCAGACCGGGTCCACTTTGACTCCCTAATTAGGGACCCTGATTCAGGGTTGTGTAATAGGGGTATAACACTGAATCACTGAAATTTTGTGTGACGCCTGAGCGCCATCTTTAAGACGCCGTCATGCAACTTAAGTAAAAGTTTTAAACCAAATTCTAATAGATGGCGGTGTTAAAAGGATTGAGTGGCCATATAAAGAACGTGGTAGAATTAAAAGAATTATATTAATTGTGTTTTGTTTTGGTTATCATTATTGCAAACTTTACAGTAAAAGTATAAATAAAAATATAATAAACTAAGAAACTACTTCTCTTCTAATGTTATTAAAGCCTTTTTGGTAGTGGTTTTTAAATGTTTTAAGGTAATTAAGTAATTTGTAATTCTAGTTATGGCAACTTTTGACATTGCAGACCGGTGGAAAAGTTTTGAATTTTTTCTTACTACGTTAGTAGTACTCCTAAATAGTTTGTGTTTTTTACTTTCTGATGTAAGTTTGCGTCATGAAGATTGTATTAGTGAATTACTTTATTTTAACTACTTGGTATTACTTACGGACTCTGGATTTTTGTACCGCATCTATATACTCGGCACCCAATACGGACTTTGGATTTTCTACTACTACGCACGACATTGGCATTCAATATTCATTACGGATTTTGGTTTTTCCTTTAATTTATACGACTGTTTCTACATTGGAATACGCAATGCCTACGAAATTGTGTTATTTTGGCTGTAAGCTAGATGGTATTTGCGTAAATGAATATATATATTATTTAGGAACATAACAAATCCATATTGTTTTTATTTTCAGTACCTATGCATCGTTTTCCAAAACCTGGCTATTATAACGAAGCTAGATTTAATATGTGGTTGGCAATATTGTGTGAGGAAACGAAACTCAAGAGGAAATTCATATATATTAAGAAATATCTACACATATGTGACAGGCATTTTGAACAAAAGTTTCGCACTGTTGGAAGAAGGCTTACTGCTAACATTTATCCCACTTTAAATTTATGTAAGTATATAGCAGTATGTTGCTTGCTTTCTGGGTAAGTAGGTATGTAGTGCAGAAGTGTAATTTCTATGTAGTGGTAACATAGGAGAATCCACTAGCTCTGTACAATAAAAATCTGTTGGCAATCTGCCACCCGCAAAAAACTCATTGGTATAACACCTTCGAATAGAACCACAAGAATAAAAGTGATTTTTTATAAACAGGAAATGAACTGAAACCCCTCATTAGTTGCAATTTTGTTAGATGCATTAGAGTTTTTTAGGACAGAAAAGCAATTTGTCAATAAATTTTAAAATTTAATAAAATGAAGAATACTATAATTCTATAAAAGTAAAGTAACAGCCGATAAAGATAAAGATACATTTATTGAATAATTGTGTACAATATGATCTTAGTACAAATATAATATAGTTTTAGGCTCAACAGTTTAGCCATTTTGGGTATGCAACAATTAAGAAAATAAATTTAAAATTTACTACTTACTAACATTAATTTTATTAAAAATCTAATTGAGATTGTAAAAAACATTATCAATTAGCAATTTCTCTAATTTTGTTTTGAACATATATTCATTTAATTGTTTAATAGCTGGTGGTAGCTGATTGTATACACAAATAGCAGTAATATTGGTACTTTTATTGTAAATCATATTTTTAATAATAAGTAAGCTTATATCATATTTATATTGCTTGCAAATGTTTTTCTTTGAATCAGATTTCATATTAAAATATTCTAAGGTTTTAGGGCAAGAAACTGCCCTCCGCATAGCCCCAATTCATGTTGGCGGACTTCAAATGTCTTATTGTTTTTCATTTCTTAGACATGCCAGTTTCCTCACAATGTTTTCCTTCACCGCAAAGCATGTGGTATAAATTAGCACTTTAATTTGCAATTAACAAATTCATTGGTGCAGGCGGGGATTGAACCCAGGTTGCTGGCATACTGTGAAATTTGCAGCGAGTGCTAACTTTTTGAGCTACCAGGAATTCTAAGAAAATGAATTAATTCTAAAAAAAATAATTTTATAACTTGCCTGAATTGTCATAGAATAATAATAATTTTTACCTAAATATGTAAGCTTCCATAAAACTGAAAGTATTCCGAACATTCATACATAAACTAAACCAGAAAAAATTATGCCTGAATTTATTGCAAACCTTAACTTGGTATCTTCTCTTTAGTATAGAATTCATATGTATTAAAATTATATTTCTGCTCATCAATATAGAACTTTGAATAGTGAAAACTCCGAAACTGCAAGTTCTACTGAAGGTAAATATTTAAATATAAGAATTAAAAGCATGCCTTATTCATGATGATATCTTGGGTTGGTCTATTCTTAGGGTTGCACCCAGGGAGTACAAAATTTAATTATACATATGCTTATACAATATGATTTAGATTTTAGGAATGGTTTCAACTGGATCTTCAATGATGAATATTCAAACTGTAATTTCCCATACTACCGAAGGTAATTTTTTTCATTTAAAGCTTGTTATTAGTTGAGCACACTTAAGCATGCCTGTCATACACTGAGAGTGCCTGGTCCTGGTTATGTGCAGTGTTCTTGATTATACCCCCTTTTCCGCAGCCACATATTTCCCACTCAATATGGCGATGTGTTTTCTTCTAATGCTCATGGGCACATACTTTAATGGAATTGCTACTAAGTGGCACTATTCTGATCTTGAATGTTTCAATTAATGAGTTTTTAACCCAAAATTGCATGACTCAATCTTTTTTTTTATAGGATAAGGGTGACAAACGAGCACACAGTCCACCTGATGGTAAGTAGATGCTGTGGCCCATAGATATCTACATTCGATTGAGAATCAAAATGCAGATGCATTGTCACCCCTGAGGACTAAGATGGAATGCCTCGATCCCAGTAAAATGGGTCTCCGGTTCTCTACACTTACCATATGAAACACAGCAGCATTAAGTTGCTATTTTACGCTGGTTTTCTGTGAGAGCATAGTCCTTCTCTGGTCCAGCCGACCCATTCATGCTACAACCATAATATAGCTGCAGCGTGGCTCTACCACCTAAAAACTGATTTCATGTACACTTGTTATTGATATACATATCAGAGAGTATAGAAATGTGTATGTTTTCGTTATCATGTCATATGCGTAATGTAAGTGTACTTGTTAAATAAAATAATAAAAAATTTAATTAATAAAAGCATTTGTCGATTAATAATTTTGGCATCTCAAGACTCAAGCATAATGATACACTATATTTTTTCAGAAACTTTACCAAAGGCCTCTACTTCAGAGGAAGCATATCAAATTGGAAAACAGTGCAAACCTCAAAAACAAAGAGGTAAGTTAAAATCTTATCAAGTAATATGTATTATTTAGTTAGTATGTCTGCTAAATATAAATTGGCTGTATTGTCAAATATCATTTTATAATAACATAAATAAATTAGATTAGAACATATTGTGTTTGTTGAAGCGAGTTCCACCTCAGTGTCTGGTTCTTTTTCTGTTTTTGATGCTTATATACAGTGACCTATTACTAAATGAAACTGGGGTCCAAACTAGTGTCCCAGCCAAAAAAGTTTCAAAATGCAAAAATAAGTTTTGTCGAGCAACTTAATATGTGTCCAAAATGTCCTACTGTATTGTGAAAACATGCAAAAACTATTTATATTTATTTTCCATAAGAACTACTAATATTTAATCATTTAAAAGTGATATTATGCATAGATATGTACATAGTATTTAATTTAAATTCATATTAATTGTAAAACAAATAACCATACTGATAATTTTCACTAGAATCTTCATAAGGTGAAAATAGTGTAGCCTCTAGTCGAAATCAATAGGCTGATAAATTGTCACAAGTAAATTTGAGTAGTTTTATAATGACAATATGGTTTGAATTTTTTTTAATAATATCCAGTTAACTGGGACACATTTTTCGTGAATTTTGTTCTATTCATTTTGTGGTAGGTCAATGCTTAAATTTTATTTAATAGTTTTTATTTCAATAAACTGTACAATTAAATAAAATAATGTCCTAATTTAAAATAGTCTACTATAACAGGCACTTGAAGTAGGATAAACATGTATCTCAAGTGTATATAAAAACACAAACATCAGTATATAAAATGTATAACATACTAACTAGTAAGGGTTATTTCGGTAAAATATATTGATAATTTTATAAATTAATTAAAAAAAAATATATATTATCATGTAAAGAACTTAAAGATATTGTGAGCCTCTCTGTTGAGCGAACTGTAGAAACGGCATGTGTTGAGTTTGAGCACCTCATTGTTGTGAGCGTTTACAGACCCCCATGTTCTTTATATGATACTTTTGAAAAAATTATGGAGGAAGTTTTCGCTAAGCTTAATAAATAGAATAAATCTGTTGTAATATGTGGAGACTTTAATATCAATATCCTAGAAGCTTCCTCCACCAATATTAAATTTAGATCATTGTTTAAATCTTATGGTCTTTTTAATTTATTTTTGGAGCCAACACTTATTGCTGAATCTAGTGCAACATGCATAGATAACATTTTTACAAATGTTAAGCCGTTCAATAAATGTATAATTCAAAAATTGAGCTCTGATCACTGTGGAAAATTAGTTTCATTACCTTATGTTCACAAAAAGCAAGTAGATAAAAAAGTTGTGTTTGTTCCAGTAAATGCATATCGCTTGGAGAAGTTTAGAAGTAACATAGTAAAAAAACTTCCATTACTTTCATACCAAAATAATCCAAATTTTTTTGTATGGAACATTATTTAAGCTCATTTACAATGAATTTAATAATACTTTTACTTCTAAAATATTCTCCTTGAACAATCGCAAGGCATTTAATGAATGGGCGACAGTAGGAGTCCATAAGAGTAGACAAAGGTTATATGAACTTTACTTAAGGTTATATGAAAGGTCATATAATCCTAGCGTCGAATTTAGGGAATATGTAAAAAAATATTCCAAAATATTTAAAAGAGTGAGCTCCTCTTAGCCAAATCATTGTATTTGAGCAACAAAATAAAGACTGCTTCTAATGAAATTAAAATGACATGGAGCATAATTAATAGTGAAACTGGTAAGGTCAACTCTCGCAATTCAAATTACCAGTTAAGTTTTAACAATAAATTAACTAAATCAGATCAGGACGTTGCAATCGTTTTTGAGAAATATTTTACTGATATTCCGATCTTAACCACTAAGTCATTGAATTCTTCTCCTGCCGTAGCCGAATCATGACTTCAACAAAATGTAAATGTGTGTACAAAGAATTTTACATTTCATAAAGTGTCATCAAAAGATATTGTAAAATATTTTAAGACTATTGATATTAAGAGAACCTCCGATCTGTGGGGGATTTCTGTTAAAGTTATTGCGTCTATAATAGATACAATCGCACCTCAACTATCTATTATTTTTAATACTAGTATCGAATCTGGTGTGTTTCCTGATTTAATGAAGCATAGTAAAGTAATACCTTTATTTAAATCTGGTAGTACATTGGACCCCGCTAATTTTAGACCTATTTCTGTACTGCCAACACTTAGTAAAATTTTTGAAAAAATTATTCTTGATCAAATGTTAAATTTTTTTTAATGTAAATAATTTACTTCATAAAAATCAATTTTGTTTAACAAGGGGTCGCTCGACAACTGATGCTGGTGCTGAGCTGATTAAATATATATTTAATGCATGGGAGAATTCACAGGATGCTTCGGGTGTGTTCTGTGACCTATCCAAAGCCTTCGATTGTGTTCACCATGAAACATTAATCAGGAAACTTCAACACTATGGTGTAAGAAGCGATGCTCTTAAATTAATTATTTCATATTTAAGTGACAGAACGCAAAAAGTTGTCATTAATAGTATGAGTTCTTCTGGGTCAATTGTACAAATGGGCGTGCCTCAGGGCACAATTCTCGGCCCCTTTCTGTTTCTTGTATATATTAATGACTTACCTTACATAGTAGGGGATAACCATGATATAGTATTATTTGCTGATGATACTTCATTAATTTTCAAATTAAAACGACAGTTATTAAATTACGACGAAGTAAATAATGCTATAGCTAAATTAGTTAATTGGTTTAATGTTAATAATTTGCATTTGAATGGAACTAAAACTAAATGTATGAAATTTGTAACTCCTAATGTTAAACATGTCAATACTAATGTAATTTTAAATGGGGAGGAACTGAGTCTTGTTGATACCACCATTTTTCTTGGAATCACACTGGACGAAAAGCTTCAATGGCTCCCCCATATATCAAAACTAGCTAGCAGACTTGGTTCTGCAGCATATGCTGTAAAAAAGATTAGGACTGTTACCAATGTTGAAACAGCTAGAATAGTTTACTTTAGTTATTTCCATAGCATTATGTCGTATGGTATTTTGCTATGGGGACACGCGACTGACACTGATATTATATTTATTTTACAGAAGAGGGCCATTAGAGCAATATATAATTTAAAACCAAAAGAGTCACTGAGACAAAAATTTAAGGAAATTAATATTTTAACTCTGGCCTCTCAATACATTTATGAAAATGTAATGTACGTACACAAAAATAAAAGTAGTTTTGCGAAAATAGGTGATATTCATTCTGTAAATACTAGGAACAGACACAAGCTAGTGGTACCAGTTACTCGACTCCACCGAGTCAGTAATTCATTCTTGGGGCGATGTATACGCTTTTACAACAAAATCCCAGAAAATATACAAAATTTATCATACACAAAGTTCAAAAATGTTATTAAACTAAGTTTGTATAAAAAGGGTTATTATAATAATATTATAATATTAAGGAATTTATGGATGATAATAACCCCTGGGAAGGGTGATCGCTACCAAGCTATTTCTAATTTGTCTTGTGTTGCTAATTGTAAACATGATTGTAAGCTATTATTGGAAAAAAAATAGTCCCGCTGGGTTTCTTGCTGGTTCTTCCCAGGACAGAGGTTTTTTTTGCGAACCAGTGGTAAATGAAAAAAGTGACTTTCAATAAGTATTTGTTATAATCTATATTGAATAAAAAAGTTTCTGTTTCTGAATCATTAAACTAACTTAAAATCAGCAACTTTTCCATATCATCATATGACAAATTTTGTAACCATGTTTGAATTACATTTTTACAATCTGCCATTTTTAATGGATGTATTCAAATTTGCATTGACTTGATTATACAAAAAAGACCAAGAGAATATAAAAAAATATATTGTATTCCATTAGGTCGAACTCCATACTTATGTACCTATAAATAAAGTGAAATTGCTGGATTAACTGATTTATTATAGCAGATTATTAACTATTGAAGTGAGAAACATGGAATTTGCATAGTAGAAGCTGCAAAAAACCTTTTTAACATTAACTCCCACTAGGAAGGATTTTTGAATGGAATAGGGAGTATGATTCTGCCTGAGTCTCATCATTTTTTAAAGCAAGAAATGTAGTTTGATTTGATGAAGGCTTTTGTTTAGAAATACTGAACATGGTAGAGCCACGCTGCAGCTATATTAATAGTTGTAGCACGAATTTGTCAGCTCAACCAGTGTATGACCTTGTAACAATAATAGCGTGAAATAGCAGCTTTATGCTGCTGTATTTCGTATAGTGACTGAGAACTGGAGACACTTTTTACCGTAAACAAGGCATTTCATCTTAGACAACGCATCTGCATCTTGATTCTAAATTGCAGATAAATGTAGATGTTTATGTACCACCACAGCATCTTCGTCCCATCAGGTGGACTGTGTGCTTGTTTGCTACCCTTTTTCCATAAAAAAATCTACTACTGTCTGAGCTAAACCACAGGCAATAGTTAGTATATCTTATAAAAGGCAATTGAATGACTGACAGCTTTTTGTATATCTTTTAACAGAAAAATATATTTTTTATTCTGTTTGCTTTTAGATGGAAGTAAGAAGAAAGTCTTTTACATAGAGAAGATTAAAAAATTTAAGACTTGCCAACAATTAAAAACGAGGCTGTTGAAATTACAAAATAAGTGCAAAGATGTTAAAAAGTCCTACCGTGTAGCAGAGATGGTAAGCAGAAATGAAAGCTTAATAAACATAATTGATAAGCTGCCTAAAACAATATCGACTTTTATGAAACTTCAATTGAAATTTCTACAGAAACCAAAAGGCAGAAAGTTACTTTAAAAGAGAAAATTTTTGCATTATCAACATTGAAACTAAGTTTTAGGGCTTATAGCTTTTTAACCAAAATTTTGGTACTACCATCCAAACATACTCTACAGAAAATCCTTAAAAATATATTGATTGAACCAGGATTGAATGAAAATATTCTAAATAATTTAAAGAAAAAAATGTATAAAATGACACCTGAACAAAGGCTATGCAACTTAATGTTTGATGAGATTGCCTTAACTCCTGGTTTATATTATAATAGGAGTATTGATCAGATAATTGGTTTTGAAATAGATACTGAGAAAATTGCAGACCATTGTCTTGTTTTTAAGAAAAAAATGATAAAAAGCAAATGCAAACGGCCCTGTGTTACCAGTTCTGCCAAAGTGCAACTAAAAGACATATATTGAAAGAATTAATTATTGATATAATTTGAAGAATAAGAGAATATGACTTAATTATTGTCGCTACAATTTGTGACCAAGGTACATCTAATGTATCTGCAATTAATTATCTTTTAAAAGATACAAAAGAAAAATATTTAAGGCATAATAAAGTCTACAAAAGCAGTATAATAGAAATTGATAATATGCCTTTATTCCATATTTATGATCCTCCTCCCCATTTATTAAAGGGACTAAGAAATGGATTAGTAAAAATATGAGATTAATTTTTAATGGGGAAGTCATGATGGCAAAATGGGAACATTTAAAAATGCTTTTAGAAATTGATATTGAAGAAGATGATTTAAGAATGTTAAACAAATTAACAATTCATCATGTGCAACAAGATAAATTGCCTAAAATGAAGGTGAAGTATGCAGCTCAAGTTTAATAGACAAAGAGTTGCAGCCACAATGAATTTTTTAGCAAGTAAGTTGCTTATAGTTTTTTTTTAAAACGTTACCCCACTAGGGTTTTCTCCTGGAAGTGGATATATATTATGAAGGCAGTTTACAAACATAAATTGCACAAGAAAAAACATCCAGACCCGGAACATTTATTTGTAGGCTGTAGGCTTCGCAGCCCTCAGACTCAGAAGACTACTGCTGAACATAGGCCTTGCATGAGCAATGCTACAGATTACGATCGCGAACTACCTTTATCCATTGGCTTCGTCAGTCTACACACGGTAGCACTCGAGAACCTTTCTGCCCGATCAGATGAAGGATGGGATCTTCAAGCTATGGTCGGCCTATCACCATTTCAGCTTTCTTGATTCATTGGGTTGTGTTGAATGAATATTGGAAATTGGAACAAATTTGGTGTTAATTAAGTAAATATTACTTAAAAAGTGTGAGGATGAATAACTTTATTTTAAATTTCCCAATAAACAAAAATACGTACAGATTAACCCCACATCTTATTTCGCCGTAATATATGACCGTGTAATGAATGTTTGCTCTGACTCAATTTAAAACGCTTGTATTATTTTTCAAAATATCTTATAAAACGAGTTTAAAACGTATTGGCTCTATCGACGCGCTTGTTTTTTTTAAAACTTCAGAACGGATTTAAACAATTATTTTTATTTAAATAGACTACTACTTAAGGAGTGCCAAATAAATTTGAAAAAAATTCCGTACCTAACGGGAAAAAACAACAACATTCTAGTTGTTACCTTGAACTTGTAATTTTTCTAAGATCACTAAACAAAACAACAAAAGAATGAAATAGCCAACGTTAAAAAAAGTTAAAACAGAATTTAAATCTAAAAAAGTTCAAATATAGGCTTTTGAAGTAGGGTCTTTAATTGCACACATCGAACGCGAACTGCAGCTGTAGTGTAGTGCTCTGTTGTCACCAAATCAAAAAATCGCGATCTACTCAAATAACTTCCACCAGCTGCAGCAGGATAGTTCAATTATAATTTCTGACGCAGTTATAAGATGATTTATTTCGATTATTAATAAAAGAAAGTTAATTGAAAATAATTTACTTGCACGTCTGTTGTTTGGTACGGATGTGAACGAAATATCTTTCGAAAAACTCGACTTATCACTTTGATTTTTTCTATTAGCTTTAGATTTTAATTCTTAGAAAGCCTTTCGAATTTCACAATTTTTTATTTTATTAATTATTTGACTATTTGTTCGGTAACAAAATATGAATTACTAGTATCAAGCAGTAAAAAATGTGTGTTAATTAAACCTAAACAATTTTTTGTAGCTGTAAATGAAGTAATGAATTTGTATATGGTAGAGCCATGCTGCAGTTATATTAGTTGTATAGTTGTAGCACGAATGGGTCGGCTCGACCGGGGAAGGACTACATTCTCACAGAATACCAGCGTAAAATAGTAGCTTAATGCTGCTCTGTTTCGTATGGTGAGTGTAGAGAACCGGAGACCCTTTTTACTGGAAACGGGAATGCCTCGTTTCCAGTCTTATCCATCTTAGTACTGACGGGTGACAATGCATCTGCCATTTTGCGGGGATAGATGTAGATTTCTATGAGCCACAGCAGCCACTTACCATCAGATGGACTGTGTGCTTGTTTGTTACCCCATCCTATAAAAAAATACATGTTTCAGTAATTATTAAAAGTAAATTGATTATTCAAAATATTATATGAGTGAGGTGTGCACATTTGGAATAAAAAAATACGTGTGGCACTCGGTGACTGCCGCGGTAAATCTATTGCATAGCATTTTTTATCAACTTATGTAATTATAATTATTTATTTATTTTATTTATTATTGATATTAAATCAAGTTACACTTTTTGAGCGTGGTGACCGATAAGAAAATAATTTTTTTTCTCTTATTGAATAAATGAGAAGTTAATATTGTTTAAAATATTTTTAATATCTTACAATACATGTAGGTTATTCAGGAATTTTTATCATTGAGTTAGCAGCTAGTGTACACGCACACAAATACCGTGCCGAAGTCTGCCGAGTGCCGAAGTCTACCGAACTAAAACGACGTTAGACGATGCACGGCTTTCAACGCCACACCTCCGTGCCCGTCGGAGTGGAGAGTGTGAGGTTTTTTTTCGTTACGGAATTTCTGGATTCGGTCCCCGTGCTCAAGGCCCGCGATAGAAGCTATGCAATAGCTTAAAAATTAGTGCAAATATTTTTTTATACACTTTATCTTAGCACAGACTTATTTTTTCAAAAAAATATTTTTCTTTTAGATTTGAATTCAATTTGTACTATTTATTAACAGTTTGGGTTTTAGGTTTTATAAAAAAAAATAATTAAACAATACAACCTTTTATTTTCAATGTTTGCTGATGTTAATAAAATGGGGTTAATTAAGGTAAATTAATTTGTTACGTAGAACAACCTAGTTCTTGTTTTAAAAAGGTCTATTTCAGAAAAGCTCTCAGACTCTGTCATACGAGCAAATGTTGACGCACCTACCAACTTTACAGTCGAAAATTGTGCGTGTGTCAAATCAAATCAAATTAATACACTCCAGTGGGTTTCGATGTAAATTGTAATGTTTAATTTAAAAAAAATATTACTTATATTACTGTTTTAACTTTTGGTAAAATAAAATTGTAATTTAAATACCATTTTTATTTTTTATTTCTATTATTAAAATTGATCTGTATAAATTTTAAATTTGCATACAACTCCTAAATTTATTTATAGTTAGGGTTCATCAAAAGTTCAATAAAACGCAAGGTGGGCTAATAGATGTGTTCGTGAGTTTATTGAATGTGAAGAGATTTTATAATTGACGAGTATGTTTTTTGTGAATGTTTACCTCTTTCTTTAAAACGGCTAAAACCAATTTAAATAATTATTTTTGATGGTCCTATAATATATACAGTAAACCCTCGTTAATGCGAACACGGTTAACACGAATTTTGGTTTATTGTTTATTGTGTATTTATTTATGAATTTTGTTTATTTATTTATGAATTTTTGTTTATTTTTATTTTGGTTTAAGGCGAAAAAAATTTGCTCTAGACAATAGTTCCATAAGCTTCAATGTTCAATTCTGTTCGGTTAAGACGAACTCTCGTTAATCCGAACTTCGAACAACTTTTTCGTCCCTTCACGGTTAATTATCGGATAATACGAACTATAAAAATTCCCAAATCATGTATTTTGTATATTTTTGTCCTTTTTCGGTCAATACAAATACCGGTAAACAATGGCTGAAGAGATTGGAAAAGTCATTAACTCGAGTTTCTAAAAATAGACAAAGGATTAGGATATCAAACATTCACTCGAGTACCTAAAAATAGAAACAATACCTCAAATTTTCTTTCCGTCTTACAAAAGCTATTGAAAAGGTTGTAAACTTTTGAAAACTAATCAACAAAAGCCAAGGCTTCTTAACAATTTGGCTTTGTTAAGAAGTGTACATATAAACTGATGTCTGATGAACACTCTTCAGTTCTTCAAGATGTCTAAGCGAAAGCAGACCTCTCTTGACGTGCAAACTAAGTACCAAATTTTGACTGAAGTTGATCGCTGTGTCTTGTCGAAAACTGCCGTAGCCGAGAAGTTCCAAATTCCAAAATCTACTTTGTCTACCATTCTAAAAATAGAGAAAAGATAGAGGAAGCTATCGCTTCTGGAAGTACCAACAATCGTTCGAAACGTTTACGTACAGCTACCCACGAAGACATAGAATCGCGATTATTGGCATGATTGAATCATATGCGATCAGAAAACATACCATTGAGCGGACCTCTTGTGAAAGAAAAGACACTCAAAATTGCTGAAGATTTGGGAATCAGTGACTTTAAATGTTCGAATGGATGGTTATGGAGATTTCAACAGCGGCACCGAATTTCTTCACAAAAAATTTGTGTCGAGGGAAACAAAGTGAATGAAGAAACTGCAAACGACTGGATTGGAGAATTTAAACAAACTAGAAAATATCATCCTCAAGAAGTCATCCCACCAACGTCGAAGGAGGTCAGAGATGCACTCGATATTTTCACTTTGCTATGCAGCGACGAACAACGTTTCAGACACATTTTCAGATGGGCTGGAAACGAGCAACTGCGAAAGTGCACGCAAACTCCGATCAACTTATCGCCAAAA